ATATCAAACGTATTAGTGTGGCAAAGTCATACCCTATTATTTGAGGGTACTGTTTTAGTACTACAATTTGATGGAGTGTGGATTGTTTTTTTAATACATAGAAATTAAAATTTTAATTTTAGATTTATAATTAAGAGTATAGGTAATCATACCACTAAATTATAAGGGTAACAGTTGGAATATGAATTGTAAAATATTTTTTCAAATATTTATGTTTTTATATATTTTATTATTTTAAATTTAAATTTTGAGGTGGATGGAGAAGGAGAAGAAAAGTAAAGAGTTATTCTATGTTATATATAATTTATTATTTGATCTCTTTACATACTTGATTTGTCTCAAATTATAAATACTATAAATAATTGGTAAATAATTTTATGTAATACTTTTATATGGTATAAGAATTATAATAAAAAAAATTTCTTTATTTGAATAGGAAGATTTTCTTTTCTTTTCTTTTCTTTTCTTTTCTTTCGAACAAGTTACAACTTTTGAGGGAAAGGAGATTCAAATTCAACCATAATACTGAGGGTGCACCATTTAACATAGCTTGTAGCCATTTGGCCTCAAAGCCAGGTGCAATAAGGAGTCCTTTTTAGTAGTTTAACAAAGCCAAATTTTTATCCTAAGCCCTTTTTATCCCTCATTAACTTGAAAAATCTCTTTTTAGTCTCTCAAGATTATTTTCTAACTTTTTATTTGATATATTAATTTACTATTGATGTGGCAATTTTTCTATGTTAAATCTATTATAAATTGGATAATGAGAGGCATCTCTCTCATTTCTCTCACTATCTTATTCATCACTAGGGATTGGCATATTTCGATTAATTCCAAATTACCCCATATTTTCAATTAATTTTTTTGGTATGATTGATTTAATTAAAATTTATTTAGCTGAAATTGTATGATCAATGATTAAATATTTAAAGATTTTGGTTACCTAAATGAACCTTCTTAATTACTGCCTCTGTCACAAATGACCATCAATTTTTTTAAAAACTTTTTTCACATATTTTTTTGACTTTTTTCGCAAATGACAATCCAATAGGAGGTTTTCCTTCTCTAGTAGCCATCCCTAATTACACGTGTTCTTATTTTCAAAGCTAATTCCTGCCAACAGAAGAAAAAAAAAAAAAGTCATCATCCTTATCTAATTCTAACATGGAAATTTCTAACTTGTAGGGTAATGTAGAAGTTGGCATATTTATTATATTTTTTTGAATTAACTTATATTAAAAAATTAAAAGATAATTTTAATTTTATTAATAGTTTAAATAGAAATATATATGTAATATTGATGATAAAAATAAAATTAATTTTTGTAATTTTTATATAAATTAAATGTAAAAAATATAATTAATATATCTTTTGTTTTTAATTTTAGTTGCACAATAGGAGGCAACCATTTTTCATTCATTATCTTATTCCGTCCGTATATTATACAACTCAAACTCAGGATCTCTTACTTCCAGTGGAAGAAAATGACCACTGAACTATTTAAGTCGTTGGCAATGTATCTTTTAAGTACAGACTAAACAAATCTTTCTAATATTTACATATTAGCTTAATGTCACCAAAAATCCCTAAACTTTACAAAAAGGGTCATTACCATCCTTCTACCTAAAACAAGTTCATAATAATCCCTCAACTTTAATAAAAGGCCTACCACCATCCTTCCATTGGTGGAAGTCATAACACTGTCAATCTCCCTGTTAACCTTGTTCAACTCTAGTTGAATGCTCTATTATCTAAGAATTTATGTCTTACGTGGCAATAATGTATTCCAATCAAATAAAAACAACCACGAGAAGAACCCTACCCTAGTCTTTTTTATCTCTCGAAATTCTCTATCTTATGCAAGCACTGCAGTAAAGAGTTGAGAGTACTACAGATCTAAAGGGTTTCAAATCAAAGCTATTGAGGATATCAATATGTTGTTGCTTTTAGGTTGGATCTGGTTGCAGTTTATGTTATGTTAATGGTTGTCTATATATATAATTATTTTGGTAAATATGGTTGTTTACAGTTGACATTGATACGAAAAGGGTTTTTTTTTTTTTGGATAACTGTGGATCTAAGTGCCCACAATACTTAGTTTTTGGGCACGTGTGAAATGCGGTTTTTTGCTTTAGTTAGACTTTGGCAATGCATGTGCAATATATGGCCCTTGATGCTTAATATATATATATATGTATATATATGTATAAGTAAATTGACAATTTTAACTTCTTGCATTCTTAAATACAGCTTATATATTGAAATTGTAGTCAATTCATATATTGGCTATAAAATTCATTCTTAAATATGAATTGGTTACATGATGAGATGCATTTTATAGGCTTCAATTTTAGCTTTCAAGCAATTTATATGTTTGAATATGAAGTTACAGGGTCAAGGTGTTCATCATGTAGAAGCTAAAGGACAAGATGCGTTATTTTATCACTGAGAAAATTGCAATTTTCATGTAGTTAATAGGGTGGTCATCATCAGTAACACATCTTATCAAGGTGTTCATCATCAGTAATCAGATCATTGAGCACCTTGGTCATTAAGAAGTTATCCATAATCAGGTATGGCCATTCAACTCGATCAAACACTTCTCTACATTTTATGCTGGAAATTATGGAGTTGCAGGAATTGGGTGTTGTGACTGGTCACCAAGCATCTCCCCTATAGATCATTGAGCACAATATCACCTTTCTGGGAGAATATAGGAGATCAGTCCTATCAAAAGGTAAGGGGCTGCAATGGTACAAAGGAGAAGTGAAACTAGGTGGAGACCACTAGAGTCTGGCTTTATAAAAATTAATGTGGCTGGGGCAATTTCTGCGCAGAATGTTGCATATGGGATAGGCGCCATTGTGTGAAACCATCAAGGCAAAGTGTTGGCAGCCATGGCATGTAAAGGACAGGAAGCAGTAGTTGCAGAAATAGCTGAAGCATGCAGTTTGCGTATGGCACTACAGAGAGGGCTCATGATCTCACTTTCAGAAAGATCTTATTGGAAACAGACTGCCTGAGCCTAGTGACAGCAATCAACAATGAATTTCTTTCCACAAATTCAAGCCTCGGTGTTCTTTCGGATTGTCGAATGTTGATGGCTTCTTTTGTGCATTGCCAAGTAAACATTACTCACCGTGAAATGCTGTTGCCCATGAGCTTGCAAAAAGAGCCCTCCAGGTTGAGACAAACGAGTACTGGATAGAAGAAGTACCAGTTGACATAACGCATCTTGTAATAGGGGATCATAATGCCCCATGACATGTTTTCTTCCTGTTTTATATTATCCAATAAAGTATGCATATCAAAGTATGCTCCCATTATCTCCTAAAATGATATTATTTCCTATATTATCTCTCCCACTTCCGAAAACGACTCCCTCATTTATAGGAAATAAATTCTAAATTCTATTCAAACGCCACAATTCCTGATTTTTAGGCAATAAATCATAATAGAAGTTCATCATCATTCAATCACCTCGCGACGAAGTTGGACCAAAAAAGGCAACCCTAAGCCACTATAGCTGCCGCACCACCTTCCCTAGCCGTGGTGCCTCTGTCCGTTGCTGTTGCACCATTGCCCACAATCAGCAACTTCATCTTGACCATCTGTTGAACGAAGGGAAGAGAAGTTGTCTTGAAACTTTTGAATTTCATAGCCAAAGCAGTGCACCAATTAGTGTTTGTCATAGCTAACCATCCCACCAACCATCCCACCAACCATCCCACCAACCATCCCAGACCCCGCTTGAAAAAGAAAAGTGTCGAAGCAGAAAGGACTCCCCTACAACCGGCCCAACAACAAGTCATCTATGAAAGGGAGGAATCCCAACAAAAAACAAAGCTCGCACATAAGGACGACAAGAGGAGCGCACCCATCATATCACCGCTACAAAAAGCAAAACTTCCACAAGGGGAAGAAAAGTGATTTTGAAAGCCATAGACGAAATCATCCCTATCTCACGACTAAGCGTCCTACTTTATGGTTGTCCAAATATACTCTATTTAAGTAAACGCAATGTACAAACCTAAATTTGGAATCTCTCCATAAAAAAAATAAAATTTGGAATTTTAAATTAAAATATATTAGATATTTAAATAATTTTACAGTTATTTTTGTTTTTGCACCTTTTTTTTACAGATTTATTTAAAAAATATTTTTTTTGTTATTTTATAAACTTATTTGAGTTAAAAATATTTTTTAATTACATTAATAGTTTATGATAAAGGGGCCAGGTAAGGGTAGGGTAAAGAAACTTTTATCGGGTAAAGTTTTGAACCCTTTCCTGCCCTAAATAAAAATAAAATGGTGGTCCCCTGAATTTATCAAAGAAAAATTTAG